ACCGAGTCAGAAACTTCAAGAGAATAAGCCGTAGTATCTTGTTGAAGATTACTATGGGAACACTGATCCCTTCTATGCCCATACTTTCCACAAGCAAAACAAACTAAGTGGAGACCCTCATATCCAACATGGAAGATACGATCAGCAATCCGGAATTTGGACAAAAAGCCTTTCCTAAGATCAACTTCGACACAAATTCTAGCAAACTTTGCTCTCTCTGTAATATCACCTTCACCAGAATCACGTTTCCTGATAGAGTTCCTATCAATCTTCAATGTGCGACCAAAAATACTACCTATATTCCACAAATGATGAGAGGTATAGAATTCAATAGGAAGTCCTGGAATACGAATCCAAACTGCCAGCTTTCTGATCTCATCATCATAAGGATTAAAAAATGGACGCCACCGTTGAACTACCACATAATGATCAGCTATGATCCAAGGACCATCCTCCAAAACATGAGAGTAATCATTCTTATTTGAAAATCGGAACAAAAAGTAGTCATTCTCCAGATCAATGAACTCATATGTGCCTGAGATATTCCACATTCTCAGTAAACGATTGAGTAAGAATCTAACTCCAACTTTCTTCCCCAGAAGTTTCACAATCACTGCCTGTCTCCAAGGTCTGCAACCTTCTAAATGCAAGGCTTTTGGAAAAGAGTACGTTGGGCAAAGAGGATCCTCCTTACCATCAACCGTAACAAAGACCTCATCCCCTTCTTCTTCGTCCTCTTCCTTACGTAGTTTTTCTACCCAATCTTCCTCATCGCTATCAGCAACATGAGGTCCTCCATTAAAACCAAGAAGAGAATCTTTATATGACACCAACTTCCTGTTAGATGAATCACCTGACTCTTCCTTCTTTTTTCCCCGTTGCTAGTCACATTATATTAAATATTAAATATTTTCTACCCAATAGACATAATAATAAACATTATTAATAGGCTTAACAATTTTCCATGGAGAAAGTAATGGGAAACATTATATTAGTCTGTAAAATATTTATTGGCAAACATCTTTTTACGATGCATGAATTGGATGATCATTGTTCACTGAATGGTCAATAATTATTATAGTGATAAAATTTTTATAATTTATTTTATACAGAATGATAAATGTCATTTTTTACTTAAATTAAAATTTTAAATTCTATTATATTAATTATACATATTTCTTGCAAAATTAATTTTTATTTTTTATTTTATAATTTTTATATTGGTTATACACATATATTTAAAACGTTTATGTTAAATATTTTATTAGAAAAATACTTGTACGAATTTTTTTTCTCTTTTTGATTTTTTTTTAAGTTTGAATTTTTAATTTATTTTCTTTTAAAGTATAAAAATGTATTCTTATTTTTTTGCAATTAAATTTCACTTTTAAAATATTTTTTATAAATCTACATATAATTTTTTAATTATAATTTTTTCATTATTTTTTCATTTAAACTATAATTTTATATTATATTAAAATTTATTATATGTATATATATTTTGCCACTGCATAAACATTAAATGTTGAACTCTTTTCCTACCCATCAAATTCAAAATTCAAATTTAAATAGTGGGAAATATTAAAATAGTTTGTAAGATACTTAAAGGCTAACATTTTTTTCAATACAAGAGTTGGATGGTCACTGAATAATCATTCATTTTTATAATTTTTTTGAATGATAAATATAATATTTTTTTAAAATTTAAAATTTAAATTTTTTTATATGTTTTTATACATAATTCTTTTGTATTAATTATATATATTTTTTGAATAATTAATTTTTTTTCTTTTAATTTAAAATTTTTATATTGCGTATACATATATATTTAAAATTTTTATGTTTAAATTTTTTTGAAAAAATTCTTGTACAATTTTTTTTTCTATTTTGTATTATATTTTTAAGTTAAAATTTTAATTTATTTACTTTTAAAGTATAAAAATTTCATTTCTTATTATTTTGCAATTTAATTTCTAATTTAAATTATCTTTTATCAGCTCTACATATTTTTTTTTGTTTTTTTAAATATATTTTATTTAATCTATAGTTTTATATTAGATTTAAATTTGTTATATATATGCATATTTTTTCTTACTACATAAATATTAAATGCTGAACTCTTTTCTTACCTTTCAAGTTTAAAATTCAAATTTAAAAAGTTTGAGTTAAAAATATTAAATATTTTCCCACCAAATAGACATAATAATAAAAATTGTTAATAGGCTTAAAAAAATTTCACGCAAAAATGTAGTGGGAAACACTAAAATAGTCTGTAAAATACTTAATGAAAAATATCTTTTTTGATGCTGGAGTTGGTTGGTCACTGAATGATTATTCATTTTTATAGCATTTTAAATTTTTATAATTTGTTTTTTATTCCTTTGGTATCACTTGATGGATGTGGGGGTAATCTTGTTATGCTCAGAGTTACAGAATGAGCCTATGTAATTTGGGCATGGCCCTTCTTCTAACCCAAAAAAGAAAAAGCTAAGTGGAAAAAAAAAACCCTAACGTTTCAAAGAAAAACAAAGATAATGTTTTATTTAAAAGTTTGTGATGAGATTTATTTCTCTCAAATGGTATAGTAGGTCAATATAATAGTGAATTGATGAGGCAATAATATAAACTAAAACTCAAAAATAGAGTCACCATATAAATCTAGGGCAGACGCTGAGAATTCACGAGAGGTGAAAAACATGGTTGGGTCTATGTGACTATGTGGGACTGTAATCCAATACAGTAATAATAATGGAGAATGATGTGTAAGAGGTGATTCTTGAATGGAGGAGCGCGGTATCTATAGGGGGAGAGGATGAGTTTAACCATTTTGTCCTATGGCCCCACTATAATTTATTGTTGTGCACCCTCACCTTGTGTGAGTTGTGTTTGGGACTAAGGGTGTAAATGGGTTACGCGATTTAATAGGGGCATACGACTCAACGGTTTAATAAGGGCACACGACTCAGTCTGCATCAAGTTAGATTCAACCTATTACATATAGTCAAATAGAATAGGTTCAAGCTTTTAAAAAAGCATATTTATAAAGTCGGCCATAAGCTTTGTTTTACATACAAGGCCTATAAATTTACAGGGCGATCTATATCATATTATTTATTTTAAATAAAATAAGTAAAATTATTATTTTAATGATTTTGAATAATAAAGTAATGTTATTTTAATTATATTTTTAATTATTAAATGCCTAATAAGCTTAAACAGGTTAACAGACTTAGATCAAGATTTTTATTTTTTAAATATAGGTCAGGATAGATTTACAATTTGGGTCTACACAGGCTAACAGATCAGGTCAGGCCTAAAATAGTTTACACAAGTATAGCCTATTTAAGCCATAGCTTAGCCTATTTACAACCCTATTTGAGACATATTGCATGATAGGCCTAATATGGATTCTGCAAAATATTGAGGGGTCTAATCGTTGGAGCAGTGCTCCTCACTGGCAGCTACTTTTCAGCATTACAACTTGGTTCCTATGGCGTGATAGAAACAATTTCATTTTTAATGGTTCTGGGAGTACCTTGGTTGGTATTTCACGAGCTGCTAAAGCTTATTTGGATAATTTTTTGCTCGCCAAAGACACATTGTCGGTGATGGGAATAGAGCAGCATCTTCTAATGGAGCGGCTCATAGTTTGGTCTTTTCCTCCTCTGAATTGGATTAAGGTAAACGTTGATGGCACTAGTTCTTTTGATGGATCTCACTCAGGTTGTGGCGGTGTTCTTCGTGATAGCTCCTGACAACTGGATTATTAGCTTTTGTAAAAATATGGGTAGTGAGATAACTTTGAATGCTGAGTTATGGGCCTCCTTTGTGGGTCTAGAGGTAGCTTGGAGCGAAGGATATAGATATGTGTGGTTGGAAGGTGATTCTCAGCTTGCACAACAACTTATTCTAAAAGGATGTAGCCCTTCCCACCTATCTTCTGGGTTGATTTTGCGAATTAAAGGTCTGTTGGCTAGGGATTGGAATGTCCGTGTTTCCCATATCGATCGTGAGGGAAATGGTGTGGCAGATTGGTTGACTGCTTATGCAAGTAATTTTTATTGGAATCTCCAGCTTCTGGAGAATCCTCCGTCTGCTTGCATGCATCGTGTGCAGAGTGATTTCATTGGCACCCACTAGCATAGGCTTTGTGCTTAGAATCTTTAGTTTTGTGTTTGTCTTTTTATTTCATTATGTGTTTAAAAAAAGAAAATCAAGTATTATGAGGGAATATTTATTCTCCTTTGAAGATGCATGTGTTGGGCCTCTAGATCGAGCCTAGTGGTTGGTCCATAATTTTAAACGTAATAGCCAGTCAAAACTGGTAGAATTTAGAAGCATCTCTCACAGACACACTTATATATATATATATATATATGAGTTTTATACTTTTCATGCAACATGAGGAAATAAATTTTTTTATGCAGCATTCGATTTTCGTGCTGACATAGAACCCATACATGACATTTTCTAATATATGGGTCCCACGTGACTTTTGTCCCTATGGCATAAGAAGGTTCATCTGATGTAACATGAGAAGTATAAAATTACACACACATACATACATATATACATATGTATATATAGAAAAATATTTTTCCTTTTAAAGAATATAACTTCGTGTCATTTTAAACCATAACCGTTAATTTTCGTCAATTAACGCTTAAGATTTATTAGGTTTTATTGTGATTTACTAATTAATTCATAAATTTGAACCAATAAACCCTAGCCGTTGAATTACACAAAGTTATATTTTTTAAAAGGATAAATATTTTATATATATATATATATATATCTCAAATTAAAATGCAACCCTGATTATTTCATAAACAAATTTCAAAACATAATTGCGTATATATATGTTGAAGGGACACTCTCATCCTCTAAAACAGACTGTCTTCTGCAATCAATGATAAGCTTTTGGATTATCAGACTTGGCAAATTAATTTTGAACCATTCATTTACTGACAAATGATTCTTTATATGCTTGCACCTGTACATAATTTATTGGGCCTTGGATACCTGATAATATCTAGACCAGAAGAAGTAGTCCATCAAACCATCAAAAAGGCTAAACTGAAGCACAAGAAACATAAATATTGGGAGAAGCCCAAATGAAGGCACTACATACGCAACCCACTTGGATGTGTGTTCAAATATCAGAAAGCACGCTGCAGCAAAAGATGTAACCATACTGGCAATGGAGATAAACAGTAACACAAGCCCAATAATCAAGCTTGGATGTAGTGAGATGATGAATTCGCTTTCTGTGAATCTTGATGAAGTGAAAATTGACAAGAAAGCTATTAAAGATGCAGAAGAAGTGAATAATGCAACTGAATTTGTCAAAATGAAGACAACAAACCATGCATTGGTCTTGTCACCTGGAACAGTGAGAGCTGCCGCAAACACTACGGTTGAAATAAGTGTTGCAACAAGCATGCCAGAATTGGCTATTCCTTTGGCTGCATCTTTAACTTCGTCAGATAACTTTGTATGATTAGCATGAAACATATCCTTTGGTGTCTTGCCTTTGTTGTTTCTCATTGTCCTTAATTCAGGAGGAACTCTCTTCTCCACTTCCTATATATGCATTCATATCAATGTAACAATATATATGTGGGAAGTGATCAAAATGTCACTATTTATCAAGTTTTTTATCCAAATGTAACGCGAATAATGTTATTTCTCAATATACCACATGAGCAAGTTCGCTGGGCACTGTAGCGAACTCAATTTGCTGTTGTGTCACGTTTTTAGTGGACACCAAGTTCGCTTACCTTGGTTGCAATAAAGCAAACTGAGTTCGCTACAGTGCCCAGCAAACTTGCCACGTGGTATATTGAGAAATAATAGTGTTTGCGCGTGACATTTTGAATAAAAAACTTGGTAAACAGTGATATTTTGGTCACCCTTCCTGTATATGTGCATAGAGAAGAGAAAAATAATTGAATAAGAAGAAGCAATTTTACCTTGAACCACACGAGCTCTCTTTGCATTTGAATGTTTGGTCTTGAACTTGACAGAAGTTCTTCTGGATGAATTGCAGCTAAGTGTAGAACATTGTTATGATCCTTGTCAACTGCTCGTAGTATATTGTTCATTGTCCCCATTTTAAGTACAAAGTAAAAAATGCTACTTTGTCGATAGAAAACGATAAAGTGAAGTAGGCTCCTTCCATTATGTGAGTCCTTTATCATAAGTAATTCAGGGTTCATGTAAAGAAGCCATTTAACAGCTTCCACATTTCCAGATTTTACTGCGTCAAACAATACTGCCGAAGGTTCAGTTATCAATTTCAAAGTCAATCTATGCTCCAATTCTCTAACATGAGACCACAATGTCTTGAGCAATTGCAATTGATGACTCTGTCCTATTGAAGCTTCTTTATTGCTCTCCTCTTGCATATCTATCAACGAGCATATCTATCTTTAGTTTCTGTGAGGACCTAACAATAGATTTAATTGAAAAGCCATATTGAAAAACTTTTTGAAATTATTATAAGAGTTCATTTTGTAGTTTTCAAATTATAGGAATATCTAAAAAGATACAGAAACAAGCAAATGAATTTAACATAAATTGAATAAGCCAATAGCATAAAATTTAAAAAAAAAATGAAAAAAGGAGGAAAAAGAGCTATACGAAAATTTAAGTTTGAAGAACTAACAAAATTCATCTGAAGACTTTCGTGCCAGCACATGCAAAGCTGTTAGTTTCTCTTCATCATCTCTTGCAATGGCCAAATTAGCTGGATACTTTTCAAATAATTTCGTTGCCACACCTATTTTATGCACAAATTGCGACCAAAGTTTAATGGATAGCATACACAATTCACCGTAAAACTCCATATATATATATATATATATATATATATATATATATATATATATATATATATGGAAAAAAATGTGTGATATTTTAAAAAATGTAAAGTTGTGTCATTTTAAGCTAGAAAAAATAGATAGATGATAGGGGAGAGAGTGGACAAAAAGAAATAAAGGTGTTGGTCCTACCTAAGAGTAAAATGACATAATTTCATTTAAAAGGATAAACATAATTTTTGAAAATTACACTATGTACTACCGGGAGAACACAGTGTAACCTATTATTCTCCCGGGAGTACACAGTGTAGTTTGAAAGAGTTTATAAATAAAAAATTTGTAAATATAACTCTCCTTATATATATATATATATATATATGGTCAGAGATCATTTGACTCCAGAGTAAGACTTATAAGTCTTACTCCCCATCTTAACCGTTGATTTCCGTTCATCAACGGCTAAGATAGGGAGTAAGACTTAAAATCTTACTCTTGAGTTAAAAGAACTCTCGTGTATATATATATATATATATATATAAGACAACTAGCTTTAAGTATGGGAAATCGAGATTTTAAGTCTTACCACACATGTTGCCGCTAATGGTCATAAAAAACAGTTGTACAATATCCCTGGAAGCCATTTTCTCAAGTAGTTTCTCAGAGGACAGATTTTCCACGATTTTGCGGTGACCAGATAAAGCAGCTAAGTGAACTGGAAGCATCCCATCATGTCCAGGGATCACAGGCAGATTTTTGTTCTTTTCAATCATGATTTGAAAAAAATCACCAATCCCTGAAATTGCAGCTATACAAAAAGCTGTGTTCCCATCTATGTTTGGTATCTCAAGGTCTTCTGGGGTCATATGCTTAACCAACTCTTGCACAAAAGTAGTGCTCTTTGCGCTAACTGCAACATGAAGAGCTGTGTCTCCAGTAGCAGTCAATGGAATACATACCATATCAGGAAATGTATCATAAATGCATTGTGCTCGGTACCAAATATCGCCGATTGCATATGCGTACAGATCTCGTTTTAATGAACCTGCCATCCTTGCAAACTTCACATCATCACATGCTCTTTACTATATTTATTATTTGTATAGTTTAGGATGGTACAGGTGAGGGTTGATTTCACTTAGCTTTGTTTTTTAATTTTTTTCTCACAAAAAGATTGTATTTTGGATTCGAACCGGTAAGCTTTAGGTTAGATAAGAGCAACATTCTTGTTACTCCAACATTCATCCTCAATTTAAGAGAGGAGAGTCTTGTACCAAACTAGGGGTGTAAATGGATTAGGTCGGCGTACAGGGCCTACGGTCTAGCTTATATTAAGTCAGACTTGACCTATTATAAGTAGTAAAATAGAATAGACATAGGCTTTAAAAAAACTAATTTAGAAAACATGCCATAGACATTTTTGTACATGTCGGACCTATAAGCCTACAGGCCGGCCTATATCATATTTTTTACAGTGTTTTAAAACCCCACCTCACCCCCCGGGTTGACCCGGGTCAACCCTGACCCCTCCCCTCTGAGGGTTGGGGTCACAAGTTAGACCCTATATGCACATCGACTCCTCCGACTCCCAAAACCCCAGCCGGGTTTCAGTGACTCCCGGGTTAGAGGGGTCAAAGGGGGTCACTGCATGTTTTTTTTTTTTTTTTATAAAAAATTCCATGAAAAAACTTCGTTTTATTAAAAAATAAAAAATTAAAATGCTTGTAAACCTAAATCTAATAATTCTCTTCTCTCCTAACTATCTAGACATGTTCAATCTTCACCTCGTTGCCGTGAATCTTTTAGAAAAGGAAATTTTTTTACCCATTCAAATAAAATCCCTACAGAGTTACAGTCGTTGATAGAAAACAAAAACGCATTCTTACTTCCTTTAAAATTTTCTTTGTCAGTGACCTTCTCAAAAGAGACAGAACTGGGTCAGCGTAGTGACCCCATTAGAATATGAGTTTTGTACTTTGATATCTTAATACTTTAATTAGGTTGTGTAATATTGACTTGTGATTGTAGTTGGTGAATTATGTTAAGTATATTTTGAATCTTTGATGATTGGTGATTTGTTTTTTAATATTTTCATATAGGATATATATATTCATAATTTTTTAATATATAAAATCGGGTCAGCATACTGACCCCCTGACCCCCGGTTGAACCCGTGACTCCGTGACCCCTAGCCTCGACCGGGTCGATGGCCGGGCCGGGTTTTTAAACACTGATTATTTATTTAAAATATAATAAATAAAATTATTATTTAATAATTTTGAATAATAAAATAATATTATTTTAGTTATTCATTTAAGGGAAAAATATTTCTGCAGTTAATGCAGATAAGTTATCTGCTTTTATTCTCAAAACGACGTCGTTTTGATATTGAAATCTTAAAAAATTATAAATATAAAGACTATTATAACCCTGAAAAAAATTAAAATTACAAAAACACCATGATTTCTGCCCCAAAACGACGTCGTATTAGGCTTAGTGCAGATAACTTATCTGCAGTAACTGCAGAAAAAGCGAACCCTTCATTTTATTGTTGAATGTTTAATAGGCTTAAACAGGCTAACGACTTAGGCCAAAGCTTTTATTTTTTGAATATAAGTCAGGCCAGACTTGTAATTTGGAGTCTGCACAGGCTAATAGGCCAGGTCATACCCAAGATTTTTTTTACACAGGCTTGCCTATTTAAGCCAAAGCCTAGCCTAGCCCATTCACACCCCTAGACGTAACCTTACCTTCGCATTTTAGCAAAGAAATATTCAAATTTGAACTCGTAACCCTCTAGATATAAAGGATCAACCTTAACGCTGCTCTAAGGATCGTTCAATATAAAATAGAATTTAATGAAATTTTTCAATTGCATATAATAGATAACAGATATGTCTAGCCTACCATTGTGATTATATAAGACATTCTATTTAAGTTGTTCATAATTTATGAACTTGCTTTTGTCTTGGTTTTGAAGTCTTTCATGTGAGATTTTGAGTAAAATTTGTAGAGATATGTTTGTCTGAAAAAGGTAATGGGAAAAGTATATCACCTTTAAACCGCATGGTGGTAAAATCTTCCTTTCTTTCTTAAGTTGTTGTTAAAAGCAATAGTTTCAAGTAAAACTTACTTTGGAGCTTGATTCCATCTTGTAGTGAGGCAGCAGCTAAAGTAGCTTCAACTGGAGTTTGCTCATGGCTTAGACTTGGAATGTGATCAGATGGTATTATAATCTGAATGTTGGTGTTTTCTTCCATATTGATGGAGGGTTGTCTATTTTCTAAGGAAGATCTCTCAAGTCATGATGAAAACGACTGCGACCTCCCAAGTTCTCGTGGCGGGAACATATTCTGGTGTTGAAATCAGAGGGTTAATTTTCCTCTTAACGTGTAAGTACGATACATACATACTTTATAATTATTAACATACTTTATTAACATATATGTGGATTACAGTAATGTTCAACCTGTTAAATTAATGATTTGACCAATTCTCTTTAAGAGATATTTCTAAGCCTCAACACCTCAACCAAACAGTTTCAAGTTGAATGATTTCTGAATTGATAATTTTAATTCTTAAAACTGCAATTTTGACGCAACAAAAAAGGGCTCATATTGCAGGTACCAGCACCTTGATAACAATTGTTATGTGAAGACAGGTGAATGCTATAACACATGCCAATAGATCCTATTTTGTATGTTGAATTGGAATTAGTTAAATACAAGAACCTCAAAAAGCACCAATAAAAAAGTGTTGAGTTTAAAGTCGGGAGATGACCCATGAAAGTTTACCTCATCAATTTAAGTTGTGAATATGGTGATCCTTCCACCAAGATGCTTAAATTCTGATTTCAAACGCTGCAAGTTCCTCATCTTATACTTGTTAACCAAAATTTTCTGCTCTGCTGGTAAATTATATATTTATCAATTTTTCCCCTCCGTAGTCCGTACGCTTATACTCGGAAAATTAAATAAGTAACAAGTTGTATACGACTAATTCAAAGCAAGACTAGAAGGATTTTATTTATAAGAAAATATATGAATATTATTTAACCTATATATGTTCAACAACCAGGCAACAAGAATATAAATAAATACCAAGAATTAATTAACTAATTAGCAGCAATACAGCATTGAACAGTGAACATCATGCCGGGAGTGAATCATTTCATGTGTTATTTAAATTGATCGTGTCATTAGTTATGTATGATTTATGAATAAAAAAAAATCAGAATTAGATAACCATCAAGATTTTACTACTTCGGTTATCAAAAAACCTGAAGATAAATTATGCAATAATTTGTTATGGATTTCCATATCATATTAATTAATCTTGTTTATGCTTGCTTTTCTGGAGAGTTGGTTAACTGACGTATAAAGATGACTAAAATGATTTGGTTAACTCACATTGGCATTTAAACTCTACTTTAATTGTCAACGTTATATTTAAATTCCCATATATTTAAATTTTTAGTCAACTTTATAATTTGTTCGTACAAGGGCGGCAATCACCAAGTTGATTCGAAAGAATATTCACTGGCCACCTTTGAATATAACGTAATGAAGTATGATGAATATCACTTGAAGCATCACGCAACTAATATTCTATCCTCATCTGATCGCTAGAGATTGAAGCGGAGATGCTCCATACATATACAACACCCTCAAGCATGAATTTGTTATAAATATAAAATTATTTGTCTTTAATAAATAATTTAAAATTTTGGTAAAGTTGGTCATTCATGGTATAATCAATAATGTCCTCCGTAGCCTATTACCCAAAAAATATATTCTATTGTAAGCTCCCATAAGAATACAAAGGACTCATTTGGATGTATTTTTCAAAAAATAACTTTTTATCCAATACTTTTTTTTAAAAAGGTTAAAGCAATTTTTTTTTTTGGAATACATAGAAAAATCAGAAAAAACTACGAAACAGCAAAACTCAAAATTGGGCGAATAAAATCCCCTACAATTCTCTAAAACAAGGTCCTTACTCCCATCCGGAGGAGAGTTGAACCAATGACTATCCCAATTATCATCAACCCTAAGCTTAGCCATCCAATCAGCAACTCGGTTGCCTTCTCTATACTTGTGTATAATATTCACATGCCAATAGACATTCATCAGTTCTTTAATTCTATTTACAAGTGAGAAACATGGGTGGGATTTAACACACTCATCCTTAAGCAAATGAATACCAACCAGAGAGTCTCCTTCTAGAATAACATTTTTCAGATTTTGATGCCATATAAAATAGCCCATCTTAATTAATTAATAAATCTAGTGTAATTAATTAATTAAGCATGTTTTACTGGGTAAAATTAAGTATAATGCTTAACTAAAAGAATCTGAGTCACTTTGGAGTTAAAAGTGTACTCAGTGAAAATTAAGGGGTATAAATGGGTACCGGCGAAAGTGTCCAAAATATAAAAATAAACATATAAATATCCCTAGAATAATATTCCAGATTTTTGGGTAAAGTTTGGTAATTATTGGAGTTGAACAGATAGACGAACTAATACCCGCTTAAAGCCACTTAACCAATGTTAAGTGACTAAAAGCCAAAAATGAGCCCCATTTCCCACCCCATTTCGTCGAGCCAGAAACAGAAAGAAGAAGAAGAAGAAGGAGAAAGGAGGGAGAAGGAAGGGAGGAAGAGAGAGAGAGATCAAACCTTGACCGTTTTGGGTGATTCAAAAGCCTAAATCGCTTAGAATCTCGCCCTCTTTCATAATCCTAGCTTTGTTTTGAGTGGGGAGCATTGTGGAGAGGGATATTGCCTCTCAAAAATTCAGCCATTTGAGAGATTTTAGGGTTTTGGGAAGTCCAACCTCCATGGGAGCTTGAGGAACACTCCTTGCTTGGTTGTGTGACCATTGGTGGTAAGATTCTAACCCTTGAACCTCATGATTCCTTGAAATTTGCATGAGCTAGGGTTTATGAATAGTGTTTTAGGGATTTTGATGAAATGTTGTTAAATTAGCTATGTTCTAGGAAGAATGGAGCTTAGAGCATGTTGTGAAAAATGCTAGGAACGACGTTTAATCGGTGAAAATGAGCTTAGATAGCTAAATGATTATATTTGGAAAATTGCAAGAATATGACACTTGGTTATGAGTTTTCTTGCATTGTTGAACCATTGTTTGGTTGGTCATTGATTGTATCCTTGTGTTGTCTAGGATTGAGGCAATTGGATCAACCTTAATTGACCAACCTTTGGGGCAAGCAATGGAGATGGATTAGTCCTTGAAATAGGTAAGTTCATCCTTGTGTTGTGGTATGAATAGGATAGCTTGGATTGATGATGATGAGTTATCCTTGAATGCAATATGTTAATTGCATTACCCTTGTATAGGTGTATGTTTGTAAAAGTTGATTGCTGAAACTGTTGGTGAAGAACAAAGGTCGACTGAAGCATTGAGGTAAGCCTTCGGATCTTGGGTGTAATTCCCTTGATTGTTCCACCAAGCCCTGAAATGGTAGTGGTGATTATAGTGTATATAAATGCAATGAAATAGTGTAATGCTTTGTTATACGTATGTGTATGCATTTGGTGTGGCATAGGATGGTGTTTCCCTATGTGCTATGTTGCATGACGATGCGTAAATCATACTTGGTAGTTAGCTGGCCAGTAGGACTATTTGCATCTGAGTTTCCTTAGGACAACTTGAGAGCTCGAGGGACTTCTCCTGGAGATGTATTGCACTTTGCATAGATATGTATTTACTGCATTATTATTGTTATTGCTATTACACTGATATGGAACTGTGGGGTGGAGAGATGCTCCAAGGACCCCTGGTTTACTGGATATATTCGTATATCTCACCCCGTGTTGTGGGGTGAGATATATTCGTATAACCTTTCAGGTAAGGATGCTGCAGGAGCCTCTGGTGGCAAGTGGCCATATCCGGATTATGCATGAAATGTGGCATTTCTTTTGAGATTGTACATGTTGTTTTGTAGCTCACATGTATAGAATTGTAATGAATAGGCAATGCTAGATTTATGATTTGTATATTAGAATGGACTTAGCCTATGCTCATGTCTTTGGTCATCTCTTTTGTTGATGGGAGCCAAGGGAATGATCATAGTGTTTTGTAAGCTAAGTTCCATGATTTGTAAAGGGTATGTAATGTAAATGATGCCTACTTGAAATTCAATATATGCATGCTTGTTATGTATTGAGTTATTGAATTGGTTGGGCTGAGAATCAATTAGGTACCTTTTGTTTAAATTGGGAAACGATGAGAAAACAAAGGTTATGCTGCCCAAATTCTAGCTAAACCTCATGAGGAGAGGTTGGATGAGTGCTAGGATTTAGTTTTGGGGCATGGACAATTGGGGTTTGGAATGGGGATGCATCTTCCCCTAGACTTGGACTTGAAAAATGTGGGAATTGGAATTCCCTGGCAGCGCGCTTAAGCGCCCAGGAGCGCGCTTAAGCGCCCTGCTGCCCCTGTGAGTGCCAATGCATTCGGCCTCCTCGCGCTGGAGCGCCCAAGTGGGGGCTTAAGCGCCCAGGATTGCGCGCCAGAGCGCCCTGGCTCGCGCTTAAGCGCCCTTCGCTGCAGAAAGATTGGATGCTTACTGTCCCCTCGTGTTTTAGCGCCCAGTGTGGGGCTTAAGCGCCCAAGGTTGCGCGCTTGAGCGCCCTGGTCCGCGCTTGAGCGCCCTTAGCCACTGAAGGAGGAGATGCTTCTGTCTGTGCGCGCTAAAACGTCCCAATGGGAGCTTGAGCGCCCAGGATAGCGCGCTTGAGCGCCCTGATGCGCGCTTAAGCGCCCATCCACACTGAAATACCTGATGCTTCCTGCCTCCGTGCGCTTAAGCGCCCAGATGGAGGCTTTAGCGCCCGATAGCGCGCGCTTGAGCGCCCGGTAGCGCGCTGAAGCGCGCGGGGCTTGTGACCAACACTCTCTTGTGTTGCTTCAAATTGTCCTAACTTGGGCTACAGTGCTCCGATTTGAGCGCGGTTTGAAGCCACGCATAGCTAATGAAGATCTACAATATAGCAGAAGTTGTGAAATAAATAAGAAGTAAATTAATGGTTTAAAAATAGAATAAGAACATGATGTTAAGCTTAATTTATCTTATTCCGCAAGGTAATATGGTTATGATCACGAAATTGGGTATTACAAGTTCGGTATGTTTTAAAATGA